AATTACCCAGGGCAGGCGGCGAGGCTCCTTTGCTTACCGCACCACGGGGTTTCCCCCTTCTACTTGCTTAATTGCTCAAAGTAGAGTGCAATGAAGGAAACCACTGGCGGTACATTTCTTAAGAGCCACCGCTAGCTCAATAAATAAAGGTGATTTAAATAATAAAATGTTAATTCACATGTCAAAGATCTCTTTGTACACAACATCTTTCCATCATTTTTAAGCTCGCCTTGCAGAGGACCATCAATTATTTTTAATTTTTACGTCCATTCATTCACGAACTCTTGAACAGACAACATAAAGTTGACCGTTTCCAAATGCAGGCTCATTTAAAAAAATGCCAACACGCTTAAGTGTTTGGCCCTGAGATTTATTGATGGACATAGCAAAGGCAAGTTTTACAGGAAATTGTCTACGTTTCAATTGAAACGGCAACCCTGTGCCGTGGCAAGTTCACCCCATTGGCTAGTACAGTTACGCAAGCAACCAATAACTATCGGCGACAAACAGACACTTAAGCCGCATATATATATGGGAAGAAGTAACATCGTCTCCTCCAAAACGGCTGGCTCCCGGGCTTAGCGAAGCACACTGTTGGATTCCGCAGTTCCATGGCATGCCATTTTGTCCATTCGCGTCTTCGTGGGACTTTAATTAGCCTAGATATTTATTAAAAACTAATTTTTCCTACATTTTCTACTTTCTTTCTTGGGCTTTTCCTATTAGAGGGATTTGGCATTGTGCCAAATTCTTTTTTCTCGAATATCTACGGAACGGCGCCGAGTTGAAATTCGAGACGCGTATCCTCGGATTCCAAAACATTCTCCGGATCCATCGATACCGTTTTCATCTTCGTACGAATTTAATCGGCCTAGATATTAATTAAAAACTGCGGAAACGTTAATTTTCGTGCTCATTTTTCAGAGTGGCAACAATAAACTATCGGCGACAAACACTTAAGCCGCTTATATATATATAAAGATAATGCAGACTTGTAAGAAAATGAGATATAAACTTATAATTATGTAAATTCAAGACGAAAATGTACATGGTCATAATTCAATTACCTTAGAAGGTCAGTTATAGAAAATTAACTCATTTAGTTAACAGCGAGGCTACTCAATGTCCATGAAGTACTCCTTTGTAAAAATATGCAGTCTACTGAAATATTTCAGTGATATCTTAAAATTCCAAGCATTTTTGAACCCAATATGCAGGGTATTTGCTGGCTTAAAATAAAGTGGGCCTTTAATAGAAATGATAAGTATACATTTATAAGACATACTTCGCTTATAGCATAACAATTAAGGAAAAGCGGCCCTTAGAAGAAATAGAAAATATACATATTTATGAAACCTATAGAGTTCGGTAGAAATTACATCCTTCAAATTCATTTCCATTGCCCACATGTTTAGCAGTATTCGTAGAAACTTCAGGAAGTATTTCTTTATATACTCCGGAAGGTGACAGGGAAGTTTACTTTCAAATCTTCTAAACTACGTGCAATGTTTATGGACATAGTTTGTAGTAAACGTCTCCACAAAAAGTAGTATTTATTGGTAATAATCGAAATCTGAGTAGCCTTAATAAGCCGCTCTTTCGCAATAAACCTTCTCCAGTATTTTTAGGGTAGATCTATATTCGAGAAATGCGGCATCTTGCTATATCCAGAAGTGGTGCTCACTTTCCTTAATAAGCAATGAACCTCTAGAAAAATATCTTAATAGCTCTCGGCATCTATGAATACTTCAAAGAGCAGAGGTTGAATTATTCTTCATCTTGACATATTACACAAGGAACCGATTTTGGCAAGTTCAAAGCGTGACTCCATAGATGCAGGTTTTCATTCTCTTCAGGTTTGCTGAAGCCACATTAATTAGCGTGAAACTATGTCTCATCTGTAAAAAGTACCTGATCTAAAAGGAAAACATCGTGTAAATGAAATTCTATCAAAACAATAATCAGAAACACGAACGCACAATGTGAAATATGACAGCTTTCAAAAATCTCTTCTTCGCAAAATATTTTTCAAACTCCTTTCCAAAGAATTCATTCCTACCCACCCGTACACTTAACTGATTTAATCAAGCTCTCAAACAGGACGAAGTAAGACATGACTCAGAGAACCACTGCGAGCAAATTATGTACAAAATTATGTCCGCATTTTAACACTCAGTTCTCTTTTAATTTGAATAACTTGTGTATCATATGAGTGCACGATTAATAATGTGGAATTAGGCTTATTTAAAATCGTGCAAGTCACTTTGGCAACCTTGTGTTATCAGGCTCAAGTGCAAGGTAATGTGAAGGACAAAAAAGATAATAATTGAATATATCAAATATAATTTATTATTATTTTGCACTTAAAGTGCTGTTGAGTACTGGTTAATATTTTACCGTGCTGTGCTGATGATAACTATATAAAAATAAATTTAAATTATTGTGAAATCTAAACATGAATTCCGGTAAGGCCAGCACGTTTTTATATATTAGCTAATAAAAGCAGAACTTTCCGCCTAGGAAAGAGCTAAATTGGCGATTTAGGGGGTAAAATTCGTCATTTCGCCAAAATTTCCCGGTACACGTTGTACATATATATATATTAGAGAAAACTGGTATAATATATTTTTAATTGATTCCTTACATTGGAAAGCTCAGATTCAGGTATACTTTGCTTATAGAAATACACTTAAGGTAAAGAAGCCCTTAGGAGAAACAAAAAGTATACATATTTATGAGAAATACTGCAGTTGGAATGTACTTAAGAAATCATGTCCCTCAAATTCAGTTTAATTGCTCACTGTCAACACTTTTATGAGAATTTCTTTTATTAATCCCATTAGTGTACTTTTATTTTGAGTATAATTCAAATCTAATTTAGACATTATCATCCATGTAATACTTTCTTGAATTAAAATACTCTGCATAATTACTATCATTATTTAAAAAAATCTGTTATTAAATTATTTAAAAAACACACACCGGAGAAGAATTTCCTACCTATGCAATGCGTTTTCTGGTTTTCATCTTGTTATATAGGCTTACTTTAGTAAAATTTTATTTTTAAAATAAGTAAGATAACTTTAAACTGCATTTCAGAGCAAAATTTTCCAAATATCGTGACTAATGTGAATTGCTTAACATAAAAAGAATAAAGTTTTGGCAGATAAAGATGTTTTGTACACTTATTTTATTCTAATCATGTTAGAATTTTTTTTTAATTTATTCAGTTTGATTTCCTAAAAAATCTTTCTAAAATTCTTTTTAACATTAAAAATGCAGTATCAAAATTAAAGAATATAGAAGTCAGCATTCGGCCTAAGACATTTTTGTCTTTTCATATTTTAGGACGAAGATCGTATTTATTGTTTTCCCCATTTTCAAGCAATTTAAATGAAATTTGATGCAAACGTAACTTTTTTCTTTCAAATGCATGCTTACTTGATTCTGAATCACATTTGTATTCAAATTTAGAAATTTTCTGATAAAGACCTTGTTTTTCCTAAAGCTTTTATAAATATTTGCAATCATTTAAATTCACTAAATAACATTTAAGGTATTTCGTGTAACGGGGCTCATATTACACTGTCATAAAATGTTGTTACTAAAACAAACAACATCATATTAAATGTGTGTATCTCTCATTAACAATCTTACGTACTGAGTTTAAACCAAGTGAAAATAATCTTGAAACAATGCTTAATTTGTTTCCTGAATGAAACAATGGGCTGACCTCAGATAAAACGAGAGGCTAGATCTGAAACACACCTATTTCTAAGTATTGGTATTTTACTATTGGTCATTCATTTTTTTCTTTAATATTATAACTTTTAAATATTAAAAAAGAAAAGCTGATTTCTGTGTGGGACATACTTCGTGTGCCTGTAAATACTTTGACCAAATTTTAAAACTATGATCATTTCCTTTACATCAACGCGCATTTCGCAGAAAAGAAGCTAATAAGTTTTTCTCGAAGCTTCAATTAAAAACAGGTTATGAGTCTTTAAAAAAATTCAGTTTTTTGCTTTATTACATTATTTTTAGGCATAGTAATTTCAGGCTAATGAGAATTAATTATTATGTTATTTCATTAAATTGTTTTATTTTTGTACTAATTCTTACGTACGTTCTTCCAGTTAGACTCTTAATAACCGGTTTTAATTTAATTATTAATTATTCCGAAAATTTCAAAATAAGCTTTAATGGTAAATTACTTCAATGAACGATACCCTTATACCGCTGCAAGTAATATATCGTTCAAAGTTTTATTTGAAGCTTATATAGTTAGCTTTAAGAATCGTTTGTTTGGTGAAAGATGGAGATGGGTCTTTCCTAAACAGAGCAAATTTTCATGACTAAGCATTACTTCGCAATGTATAATTTGACTGAATTGCCATCTTACTTACATTCTAAGTTGGTAATTGTAACGTTTTATTCCTGATATCCACATTTTGTCGAAATTAGGATGGACGATCGTGTCATCTCTTGTGGTTAACGATTCTAGTTTCTCAAAATCAGATTCTAAAGGGAAAATGATTGTCTTAACAAGTCCATTATTATTAGGGAAGATCTTTTTAATCAGATGATAAATCTTGTATAAGAAGAGTTACGATTTAATGCAGTTGCGATTTAATAATTAAAATTCGTTCTGACTGAGTAAAATTCGACTTCTTGCATCAAAAATACGGTTTTTAAAGATAACAGCATAAATTCCAGGTGAAATTTCAAGTTATAATATATTATTTTAACAATATAGGAGTGTCAGTTATTGAAATAATTTGCCATTAATACCCTTTTTGGAATTTCCTGAATTTCAGTGCATTTCATTAAAAAGAGGAATTTTAGAAAACTCTCTATATTTGCATATTTACATATCTATATATCTATATAGACGTTGATATATAGGGGAAGCTATGTAGTTATAGATATATCTGTTTACTCTTTTAAATGTATTTCTATTCGTTTAGAAATAAAATGAATTTTTTGAATTTTTCTTACAGGAGCAATAAATGGAGCATTAAACGAGAATTTCACAGCAGTTCCTAGCATTCTTAATGGATGCAATCAACAGGTGGGAAAGGAGTATTTACGTTTCTTACAAGGTATTTTTTTTTTATTATTAACATTCGCTTTAATGAGCTCACAGACTATAAATATTTCCGATTTCATATTTCTTTGAAAAATGGTGAACTTGGCTTACATATTTATTATATCAATATTATATTTATTCTAGCTTATCTATTTTATCAAGGAGAAATTATATTTAATATTAACAAAAATTCAATTTTATTATGTGTTAGTTGATATCAAATTAACTAAATTTATTAATCTTAATTAATAATTAATTTAATATTTTCATAAATATAAACAGTAATTAAATTACATAATATTAAATGGAAATTAATTTAAATCAAGTAATATTTAAAAGAAAATGAGTTATTTTCTTTTTTTTAACAAGGCTTAATGGATGCAGTAATTATTAATTCGTCTTTCAAAGAAAGAAAAAAAATCATATTCTAATATAATTATGATGTTCTCTCCGTATTAGAAATCTTATGATAAAAATAAAATTCCCTAAATAATTATAAGAATAATAATAAGCTTCACTATTTCTTCATAAAATGTTTCGACATCGATAATATTTAATTCATACTTTCTGCGAGAACGAAATATAGATTCCTGTTAAGTATGGGTAAATCAAGAATTAATATTCATATTATGACAGTTAATACTATGTGCACTACGACGGAAATTAATTGTTAATACTTTTTAATATTCTGAAGCTGATGGTCAAAAATATATATATTCATTTATTAATGATAATAACTACATCAGTGATACGAAAATAAGAACGTTAATTGCTTATGATTAAATATAAGAAGCCTCAGTTTAGGAGATAGTGTATTCCACATGGATTCTTTTCAAGGCTAAACTGATTCACATATTCCTTACGCATGAAAAAATGAGCAAGAAAAAGTCATATTACCAAATGGTTCCACTACCTGGATAGACACTGGGATGCAAGCAATTTGCATTCAGTTTATTTACTCCTTTTGTTTTCAATGACAAATTGCGATAATGAAAAAGAGGTGAGAAAAATAATTTCTTAGTACATAAGGCAAGAAATAAATTTGATTACATTAGTTTGTCAAAATTTAATCTGATATATTTGCCTCAAAAGAAAAATACTATTAGCGAAGATGATACAATTAGTGTATAAAAAAGGTTTTTCATACATTTTACAAAATGTAAAGTTCCAATATCGAAATTTTCAAAGAAAGGCTAGATTTGATTACATGGGATACAGTCAAAAACATTTTATTTATTATTATGCCAGATTTTATAATAATGTTCATGTCATTCGTTTGTGCTAACAATAACTCTGAGAATAATGATGTAAAAGTAATACAACTTCTTATCCAAAACATTTTAGTTATAATGCTATACTTCGATATTAAACAATTCAAATTTGGAGAAATTTTGTACGCTTCCTTACAAAATATAGTTTATTTTCTCCCGAGTTTCTCCAAATCAGAACACCGCTCTAATTATTTCATCTTCTTTCTAAAAGGTTAATTAGACTAAAATGAACCATTTGAAGGAAGCGTGAAAAGATTACATATATATGATTAATTTAAGTTATGAAATAATTATTCTTCCATCTTGAAGTGTTTATATGAATAATTTCTTTCAATGCATATTCCAAAAATGGGAATGAATCTTAGAAAACTTCTCTCTGAGTTTATTTTAAAATTATATTTGCTTTATCTGAATCCAAGGAAATGTGTCTGTAAATGATTTGTGTTTTGTAATATAATGACAATCAATGTTATATATATTTTTTGCACATCATACTTTCACGACAAAGCAAAATTGTTAAACAATGTCCATTTTTCATATTAAAATATTCGTTTCCTCACTTCTCTTGAAAAAATCTATTTTTGCATACCCTCCGAAACGTTTCTGCTATTATGAACAATAATAATTTACGAATATACGCTTGAAATAAAAATAATAGAAAATCAATCACTGGATCAAATCAGTCAAAAACTCTCATTGGCGTAACAACTCGATAACAACAATATGCTCGCGATACGCAAGATTAATGGGCGATGCATAAGTATTCGTACATCTACGATCCTGCATTTAGTAGCGGTCGGTATTTTAATGGCTCTAGCAGTAGCATCACAAAATTAAAACTTTGGAAGTTATGCAAAATTTGAATTTTAACAAACGTTTGGGAAATTAAAATTTTACTAGAGTGCAAGTGATCCTTAACTTTTATTTGCAAAAACTATTGATAAATTTAAGCTGGCAGGGTTACATGCGACTCGTGGGCAGCTGGTTGAGTGTAAGTGCATTGCAGAATTGCACTCTTTAAGGAGGCCTTGCGTGATTGCACTCTCTTAAAACCCTTAAGATCTTCGAATATGTTACTGTTTCAAGAATTGGGATAACTTATTTATTTTAAAAGCAATAACTTCCACCTTTGTACAGCTGACTACATAATATAGCTGCTTTGAGAGCTAGTAACCACAAAATTTGTGTTGCCACAAATATTTTTATAATTTAATCTGTTTTGTGACAAAAATTTTATGTGTTCGCGTCATGTTTCCACCTTGCGCGAATAGTTTAAAACATTCTGTTGCATAATGTAATTCCATATTTAATATATATATATATAATATACTGTCTTTTATAACATTTCAAAGCTACTGTGAAAGAAAAATCCTAAGAATTTCAGTTTAAATTCTTATTTTATTTGGAGTTGAGTTTATAAAATGTATTTTACTAAAAAAATCTGTAATGCTTTCATGTATAATTTTTTTTAATATTAAAATATTCATCAGATTTTTAGTTCCGTTAGAAGGTAGTGCCCATATAAAGAATTCCATCGAATTTCAAGTATGTACCATTAGCCATTTTTAAAATATCATGCGTGCGAGGTGGAAACCTGAAGTGAACGCATAAAAATTTTGTCAGAAAGCAGATTAAATTAAAAAAATATTTGTGGCAACAAAAACTTTCTGATTACTAGTTCCCAAAACAGCTATATTATGTAGTCAGCTGTAGAAAGTTGGAAGTAATTGCTTTTAAAATAAATAAGTTACCCCAATTCTTGCAACAGTAAAATATTTGAAGATCTTAAGTGTTTTAAGGTGTACGAGGCCCTTAAGATCACTGTCTTTAAGCCAAAATTACACATTTTAGAACAGTTATGCTTCAACTAAAAATGCTTTTTTACCTCCCGATAACCGGTTTACATAGGTAGAGCAGATAAATTTTTCGTTCTAAAAATTCGACAGTGAATTTTCAGTGAATAAGCATGAATTAGGATCCCCTCAACATTTTTTTTTAATGTTTTTACAATAATGTCTATCTATCTACGTGTCTGTGTGAGAATTTCAAAAATTTCTATTTTCCTTATTTTAAACGTTATGCATTCATAAAAAATATTTGAGTAAAACTGGATAACCGGAGGTGGTACTCAGAGCCCTTAGGAGTTTTAAAGGACAATCAAAAATGGTCCCTTATTTGAAGCCATTAGCAGTTTTGCAACAATCAGCATAACGTATAATTAATTATACATAGCAGGATATAGTACGTCTTCATCAAAATGAATTTAGATTTGTTGATACTATATAAATAACATGAAAGAAATTAAATTATGGTATTCGTTTAAAAGTACTTATTTTAAATATGTTATAAATATTTCAAAGTACTTATTTTAAATGTATTTTATGCTTATATAATTGTAAATATATAATATATATATATTATAGTTTTCTTTAATTTGAAACTAATTAAATTATGTGCTAATCAACTGCCCAATAAAATTCAAATTTTTGTTGAAAAATTTCAAGGAAACACTTGATTATGTTGGCGTAAATTAAAAAAAAACACTTTTTACACATGGCCAATTTAATATAATAAAATATAATCGAAGCTTTTGTTTTATAGACCTTTGTGTTATTAGAATAACAAATTAGATTTTGTTTACAAACAATCACTTGGAAGGAATAGTTTACTTAAATTGCTATTTCATTGCTATTTAAGTCATGGAATTAGCAGGAGATCATGTGCTGATCAAGTTAGATTTTTTTCTTTCTATTTAAAGCAAATAAGTTTAAAAGTATAGTTTCATTTTTTGCATCAAAAGAGCTCCTCGTAGTTTCATTGCAGAAAATTAAAATTACTTCCTTTCTCGTTCATATTTAAAATGATACTATGCGTCTCCGTTTGATATTTAATATTATTTATGCTTGAATACAGAAGATAATAATCTCATTTTTATATTCCATGAGTTCCGTATAAATTAGAAGGGAGTGAGTAAATTATGTTACACACATGCTGAAAAAAATAAATTCATCATCAAATATTCTAACCCATTCAAACCATAAAAATGGCTGAAAGTGCACAACCTATGGGGTGCTAGTATTTCATTTCGGTACATTTTTCTGTCGTTGAAGACATTAGTATCCTTCATCTGAAAACTCCTGCAGGAAAATATTCTTTCTGAGCCTGAGAGGACTTGATAGCAGCAATAAATTGGTTACTTACATATTAACATGGAAAAGGTATCATACATCCCAAGTCTTGAACGGAGGTATTGAAAATATTTCGCCCATTTCTCTCTCTGAGGACATTTATGAAAATCTCATATTGTATATGAGATTCATATCTCATATAAAAAAGATTCATATCTCATATATGAGAGATTCATATCTCATATATATTGTATATGAGATTCATATATATTGTATATGAGATCACATCTCATATATTATCTTCGTCAAATTTTTTTAAAGAATGCTTATAAAATCTTCAATGCAAATTATGCTCTAAAATGTTTTTCAGAAGAATTTCTTACATCATGTCAAATTATTTTATTGAAGATTAATAATTAATTCAAGTTGGTTTTGAATACACTATTTTTCAATAAGTATAATCAATATATTTTTTCGTAATGTTATTCTAACATATAAATAATTTGAAAATTTCGCAAATATTTTTCTCAAGATTTCAAAATTTCTAAATTTTACTGTACATATTGGCTGCAACTGTTATGAAATTTTGTAACGAAAGAAAATGAATCAGAGAT